GAGCTTGCCGATCTCGATGCCACCTGGAGCACAGGAAATGAGTTGCAATGTTGTGCAAAATCGGCTGCAGGGTCTGCGCATGAAAAGGTGCTCGAGCAAGGCTTCTCAGCTTCTCCTTTCCCTGCTTGAGCACCTTCGCAGAGATCCTATTCTTACAGCGAGCACCTCGCTCTGTGATGCCGCAGCAGGTAGCCTGATGGGCCAGATCCTCACCAATCTCACAAACGCTGACTGGGTTCCAAAAGGTAGACATGGCGAAAAGACTAAATGTAATGTAGATCGACAATCAAAGATGAGACAAGTAGTAGGCATAGAATTTGTCACTGGGCTCTCTGAGTGCCTTCTAGCTTTTTATAATTCCTCCGGCTCCTGCCTAGTGTGGAATGTACGCTAGAGGGTAAGTCAGGAGCGGGGCCTTTGCATGGTCCAACTTGCTCTAATAGACTACCTGCAGGCATTCCAGTCCATCGAGGTAGCGGATTGCACCAACTAGCCTACACATTAGAAGCAAAGAGATTGGCCCGCTGTGAGAAGCCTTTGTTGAAATTGCGAGGAATCCATGGCGTTCCGCGCAAACGCAGGGCTCCAGGAAGATCATGGAGATTCCTGGAAGCACAAGAGTTCCTGGGAACAGCCTGTCTGTTCCACAGGCCTCATTTTCCGTGATTCTACCCCAACCGAATTTCATCTAGCTCAATGTAAAGTAGAGGATCAGCCAGAAGAATGAAATGCTTATCATAGTGGCTTCTATAAATACTGACCTGCAAGGTCGAGTATTGCTCCTCCATCCATAAGTCTGTTCGGCGCCACTATCATTTCATCCGAAACAGCCTCTCACTATATGTCGGAGATGTCGCACCACCTCCATACCATCGGTTGGTCATCTTATTCCAGTGTCAGTGCGGGTGCTGACTACCCATTCTAGCAGGTTCTTCGCCGTCATACGAAGAGCGTCCCGCTGCTCATTGCTGCAGTCAGTTTATTCAGAATGCACTGTTCTTTGCAATTGCTCGGGGAGATGTGCAAGCCGTGATTCAACTCCTTCAGCACGGCATCGATGTCAACAGCAGCGGACCGAAGGGCCAGCCCACGCTCTTCACGGCTCTAGAGTATCAACAGCACGAGATCTTGGAGATCCTCTTGGGTGACCCGCGAATCGATGTTCACATCACAGATGGCCAAGGTCACACTGCGCTCCATCTGGCGGTGATATACGACGATCATCTTGCAGTTCAGATCCTCTTGCAAAGCAGCTCTCTCGATGTCGATCGGTCCAACTTTGCAGGGGACAGCGCATTGCTTCTCGCGGCCAAGACGTACGGTGGCTTTGAGCCCAGACGCGACGCGATCCTTGAGCTGTTGGTTTCTCATCCACAATCGATGGTGAGCCAGCGCGACGCCAAAGGCCGCTCCCTCCTGCAGTATGCAACTTTCACGTCGAACCAGAGGCTGATCGCGCAATTGGCGCGAAGCTGTCTTGGTTGAAGGCCCTGGAAGCCTTGGGTCTTTCCCCTTAGGTCAGAACACGAAAGCCGGGCTGCAGAGGGACGGCATGAAGCGACCATACCACGTCCACCCACAGAGCCGGAAGTAGTTGGAATATGACTAGACTAGAAGGCCATGGTGCTATATTGAAAGGCCAATTCCCTCGGCTGTTTGAGATTATTGGGAAGATGACGCGTCCCACGGCCATGCGCGGGCCGACCGCAGAGTGACGGAGTCTCCACGTGGCCCGCCTTTCACCAACCTGACCAACCTTAGGATTACCAGACTACGTAACAGCGGGATATCTATACCCAAGTGCCTCAGAGGCCATGGAAGATCTGCAGTCGCGATCAAATTCGGAGATCGAGGTTTTGACATTTGCTAGAAATCGTGTTGAGTTTTAATACTACGATTGCTTGAGGTCAGATATATATATTTCGTATGGCTTAACGTTGAGGAATTTTACAACCCAATAAACAGGGCAGAACTGTGTTTATTAGGAAAATGAGCTGAAAGAGGATAAAAATTCGTACTTTCTAATCAGAATTTCGATGTGAACAGACCACATGCAAGAATTAGAATAATATATCTCCAGGTCCAGGTTTTGGAAAACCCGACAGGGGGTTCAACTGAAGTTGCGGAGTTGAACCCCCAAAGCCACCATGATTGGTCAGTCTGCCATCCGGAAGAGATTGCCACCGCCTTCTTGAACCACGTCAACAAAGCCTGGCCCGCCAACTGCCACCAGGGCTGGTCGTCAGACCAGGGTAGCTGACTGCCCAACTGGCCCTCACATCATACCTGAAACGAATGTACGCATTCGAAACGCTCATCCAGGGCTGTTGCCTCGCCTTGCACAACTCACTGAACAATCTCAGGACCCCAATACCCAAGACTCGACCAGCTCGACCTTCAATCGTATACGACGCCAGATTTCCCCTAGATCCACTCGGAAGATGGCTCCGAAGCTGTCGGCATATCCAATTCCTGCATCCAAATGCGTTCCGCCCTGTCCTCCTCCACCCTTGATGCGTTCCACCCTTGATGCGTCCAAGGCTGCCCAAAGAGCCAATGTAGCCCGGCATAAGCGTGCATTGATCGGGGCGAATTGGTCGGAATGGAAGTGTTCTTCCAATACAAGCTTTTGTGTGATGTCAACCACGGCTGTCGCTAGATGGCAGAAATTCACGCAACAGGTGCAGTAGAACTTATTCTCCTGAGCTTGCTGATCGCGCTGGATCCGCTTCTCAGTGATTGGGTCTGGCGGGGGTTCCACGCTCTTTGCTGTACTGAGGTGTGTCTTTGTCGTCTCTAATGCCATGGTCGTTCTCCCCGCTACAAAGATCCGATGGTCTAGTGGTGTAATCTCGGGAAGATCATCTCGGGGGGCAGGCAAAGCCGTCGAGGAGTGTGGTCTTGGTGTGTCTGGCGAGCGACTGTATACACTCGATGCATTAGACGGAGGGTAGAAGGAGGGCGGGCCATCAGTGAAGCTAGAACAGAGGCTCCTATCCGGCGCTTTGGGATCTTGTTTCGCGGCCGATCATGCTCATGCCATGCTCAAATAGTAGAGAACAATGGAGCCTTGTGACAGCCAGTGCTACGGTATTATACTCAAGTACTGTGTCCTTGAACTGGAGAAATCGGTGATTGAGTGGACCGCACTTTCCAGTGGGCTGTTCGCTAACGTCTGCTCGCTGAACTGAGCTACCTAGCACTTTTTGAGTCATCTGAACCTAGGATGGGGTATAGCAGTCTGGCAAAGTAACTTTACTCAAATTTTCTATTTCTCCCCCACTAAGTCTTGGCAAAGCTAGCCCGATGGCCAGCCTAATTTTTGTGCTCTCTGCCGCACAAATGCACTGCTTAAAATATCCATTGCCCGAGCATGTCTATTGAGTATCGCCAAGCTGAAAGCGCAGTATCCATAAGGATCTTGAACTTGGAGATCAATCTGTGGGTGGCGCAACAGCCGTTCAACACATGCAGTATACCCGCTTGCAGCAGCAAACATGAGGGCCGTGAAGCCCGAGGGCCCAACCTCATTCAATGCGATTTCACCTTGCGAGAGAAGAAGAGACACAATATCTAAGTGTTGGTTGATGACAGCCACGTGAAGGGGCGAAGTTCCAGAGGGGGCTTTTACGTTGATCTCAATGGACCTCTGGGTCAACAAGTTCTGGACTGCCCCGAGCGAACCCACCCGACACGCGGCCCACAGCGGGGAAACCGAGCTCGACGTGGCATTGATACATATTTTCGGCTGCCTCATAAGCATCTGGAGCAAGCGAGGGCTTTGATGCTCCGCTGCTCGCGCAAGAGGGGTAAGACCTCCATCATCCGCGTTATTCAAATGAAGGTCATTCTGGTCCAAGAGCAGTTGCACTAGCTCCTCATTCTGCAGGTCCACCGCGAGCCACAGCGCCGTGCGCCCCCTAGAATCCTGGTGATTGATGTCAAGCTTTGGGTTGAGCAGTAGGGCTTTCACTACCCGTCGGGGCGACCTCCCTTTGAGGGTCTTAACCGCGAGAAGTAGTGCCGTATTTCGGTGGGTGCCGCACCAATTGACATCCAAGCGAGGGTCTCGGGCTAGGATCTGTACTGAGATATAGTCTTCCTTTCGGACTGCGAGGTGTAGCGTATTCTGTCCAAAGCAATCTTCGATGCTGACATTCACGCGGGGATCGGTCAGAAGATGGCTTAGAATGGCGTGCTCCGAGTATTCAACTGCATATATCAAAGAGGATGTGCCACCGGTGCATCGGTCACTGACATCCAGCGCTGGGTACTGCAACAGGCGTTCAACGATGGCAAAATTGCCCTTTTCGACCGCCTTTGACAACGACCCTCGACCTTGAAAGTCGCAAATATAGGACAGCCGTGGGTGATGTTCCAACATGAGATTAACTGCTTGCGGGTAGCTTATCTGAATGGCAAGCAGAAGTGTACTCGTACCACGGTACTCCGAGCTGGGATTTGCGTGATAACGAGTCAACAAAAGTCGCGCAATGTTCAGCCGACGGTTGAGTATGGCTCGATAAAGAGGTGGCATCTCATTGTGCTGGAGACGCTCAAAGAGAGCCGCCGTACAAATTGGCGCGGTTTTCCAGCAGCAGGCAATCGACTGAATGATATCCTTCTTATCGAGGCTCCTGCATATCCAGAGTAAAAGTTTGGCTGGAAGTTTGTCTACAAACAAACAAACAATTCATTAACGCCCGGCGGCTGAGCCGAAAGGGCAACTATCACTAATCTACTGTACATTTCCATCTGCATATGCTGTGTCTCTTGCAAGCCCATACATGAAACTTTATAAAATATGACATTTCCAGAAAGCAGTGTCGCAGCGAGTTTCTCGTGGGTTAGTAAGTGGGTTAGTAGGCTGGCTTGAAGGCGCTTCTCCAAGTGTTCAACATCCTATCTTCGGCAGTTGAAGCGCGTCTACCATCTGTAGCACGAGGTGGTGGGTGAGTAGGGTCGGAAGAAGGGGGTGGGGGTTATGTTGGTCGGTATGTTCAAGTGGCCTCGAGTCGGCCCGTCGCAATGGCGAAACGTATGGAGGCCCGTACTGCCTCTAGGTTTGGCGTCCACTTCTGATCATCAGAAGCCTGTTTTCCGCCCAGGAAGATGGATATGTTTCCTCGGTGAGTCTGCGTGCATTGTAACATTTCCGTCCGGTGCGCCGTCCACTTCCGACATCGGAAGAGGAAGTGCTCCACGGTCTCTCTTGCTTGCCCGCAATCGCATTGATCCGTCTCTGCTACATTAATTTGATTGAGATACCCATTGAGTCTAGCCATGCCGGTTCGGAGTTGGGCCAGTACAGTCGCTTCTTTCCACGTTAGGCAATCATACAACTGCCGGGTGTGTTTGCCTGGCAGTGCGGCATCCACTCGTTTTGCGTGTCTTCCTATGTTCTCTGGTAGCTCACTGCTGGGGACTGCTTGGGACCGTGCAATATTCAATGTTGTCGACTTCATCCTCGGGGCGCGTTCTTGTGGGAGAGAATCTTCTTGTGTCGCAGCTCTGGCCTGTTCTTTAGCCAGACCTAACAGCTTATTGTCTTCGCTAGTAGGGATCCAGTGGGAACTGATCCGATTTCCATTTCTCCGCAACCTTCTCATCAACTTGTACATCTGACAAACCAGCTCCTGGCCAGACTGTCGTCGCGGGTTCCTTAGCGTGAGCGCCGCCGCCTTGTTGCTTGTGAGCAACGTAATTGTGTAGTCTTTGATTTCCGCTACCATTTTCAACACATGTGCCATGGCTGCCAGCTCCGCAGAGAACGGGTTTTGCTCTGCTCTCGCGCCCAATGTGATGGATAAGGTTTTGAACTTCAATTTTCGATTTCGAGGAGGCTGTTTCTCGATTGCGACTCCAAACCCCACCAGCTCGTTCCGTGCCGAGCTGCTGACCGCGATCTGCATCAATCCGCCCGCTTCAGGCTGGGGCTCATATTGTCCGTCAATATTGGCCTGTAAGCGTTCGTCCCATGGGGCCAACGTGAACGGGTTAATTGTTTCCAGTGCCTCCATGTCGATATGCCTAAGCGCATCTGCTACTTGGTACAGCGGCGAGCGATGATATCGTCTGAACTTTCTGATCCGGTCTGTACCTCTGCGGAGCGGGTTTGTTTCAGGAAGGGTATGCATGTCTGTCCACATCTTCACGGCCCGTCTCCAGAATCGGCTCCGCGCGGTGGCAATATGGGCCTCCGCCTCCGCTACGCTGGTCGCGACGGTGAGGAATGTCCCCACAATGGCTTGTGCTCCAACTCTTTGGACTCGATTGATCGGCCCCATGGCCTTGTCCTTACACGCGTGCATCCAAACATTGGAGGCGTAGTCCACAACTGGCGCCACCGTTGATGTAAATAACTGCCGCGCAGTTGCTGGGGAAAGGCCGCGAAGTCGCCGAAGCTCCATCGCTGCCTCCAGGCCCTTGGACGCGGCTCTCGCTATATGTTCCTTGTATTTCAGTCTCGAGTCCATCAGCAGACCCAGGACCTTGACGTGATCCTTGGGTGTAACCGTCTGTCCCTTGATGGTAAACGGTTCATAATCCAACTTACGCGTCTTGGGCGCAAAGTGTATGATAGCTGTCTTTTCGGCTTCAAAGGTCGCTCCGCTTCTCCTTTCCCAGTCGAGCGCTTCATTGATAATTGCTTCAATTCTTTCCCGGTTACTCTGCGCGGTTGGTCCGGTCACCCACGCGGTAAAATCATCCACAAAAGCGACTGCTCCCCCCTGGCTGTCGATCTGTCTTTGTACAAGATCTGCGTTGAAAAAGAGGAACAGTATCGGAGAGAGGGGCGAGCCCTGGGGGAGGCCAGCTTGCGGCAATCTTCGGGCCTCAGAAAGTTGCCCGTTGATTTGGATGGTGGCCGTTCGTTCCGAGCAGAACGCTTGGACCCACCGGAGCAAGTCATCGGGTATGCCTCGCGCTTTCATCCTCTGGAGCAGTCGTTCTTTACACACACCGTTGTAGGCACCTTTCACATCGAAGCTGATTAAGCTCAACACTCGTCGGCCACGCCATGCTGCGTAGATCTGCTCCTGAAGAAGCACGAGCGCTTGCTCTGCGGATCGCTGCTTTCGAGCCCCGAAGTGGCTGGTCGGGAGCAACCCGTGCGTCTCCACCGCGTGTGAGATCCTTTCTGCAACCACTGATTCGAGTATCTTTCCCAGTGTTGCTAGAAGTGAAATTGGTCTCCACGCCTTTGCAATGGTGTAATTGTCTTTATTCGGCTTCTTGAGCGGTATGATCTTCGCATGTCTCCATTGTGTCGGTAACGCGCCTTCTCTCAGTGACGCCTGGAATAAGTCGAGAACCCTGTGCTTGACAGTCGGCCACGTCATCTTCCAGACTATCGCCGGTAGACCGTCTTCGCCCGGTGCCTTCCATGATTTTGCAGCAAAAAGCTGTCTTTCGATCTCTTCCATGCCAACCGTAGGCATCCTCACTGGCTCTCTCTGTGGTCTCGTCCCCTCGTCTTCAATCACGTCCGGCAGAGGGGGAAAGAATTTGGACAACAGTTCTTCTGCTTGCTCCTTATGGTCAGCGGTGGTAGTCCCATCTGCTCTGACGAGTTGTGGTAACTTCCCGAATGCCGCGTCTTCTCCCGATTCCAGGTACTTGGCGGCCTTCCAGATATTGTCGTTGTCTGCGAGAAATTCATTCCAGTGCTTCTTCTTTTGCTTGCGGATGGCATCATGGTATTGTTTTGCCGCATACTGGGCCATCGTTTCGAGCTGAGGTATTTTTCGCCCCGCCCGTCGCTTCGAGCGAGCGCGATTGCGCCAGTACGTGTATACATAACGGAGCTGTGTCAGGTCGGTTGTCCACCACCGCTTCGCGTGTGGCGATGGCTTCGCTCTTGGAGTTAAAGTATGCACTGCATCTGAGACTGCGGACATCAGTCGGTCGGTTTTCTGCTGCACTGTGCCTTCCGACGGAGTGATGGCCAGCGTGCTCGCGATTCTAGCATTAATCTCTTTCCATGGCGCATTCTTCCGAAGAAGTCGTTCCTGATGCTTCGGGGCTGACCACGGTGCATCGAATACCGTCTCAATCGTCCGGTGATCCGAGCCGTGTTCAGTCCCGTGTATTACACATTTGGTCATCAGGTCTGCCAAATTGTCGGAGGCCAGGACGAGGTCAATCGTGGACTCGCAGTCCCCATACTGTCCTTCGCCATGCCATGTTTTCGTGCCTCTTTTGAGCAAGCTACTAAGAGCGAATTCACTCATAAGGTCAATGATTGGATCCGCTTCGCCTTGTCTTCCCAAGGACACCTCGTCTCCGCCCCAGAGTTGATCATGGCGGTTGAAATCTCCCATAATCATGATGTTCACCACCGCGCCCGTGTCTCGCCGCACCATCGCAATTGCCTTTCTCAGGTGACCACACGCGTCATCCAGAGCCAAGGAATCTCCCCCTTCGACGTAGACCGATGCTATAAAGATCAGCCGTTCGGGTAGTCGGATGACCGCCGCCGTCAGATCCGGGGACTCAATGGCCACTTGCTCCGCTTCTACATCTTTGTTGACCCAAAGCATGCTCCGGATCGCCCATCTGCCTTCCCTCCAGGTGGAGGGTACCATCTTCGTCCATTTGTGATGTCCCATCGGGGTGGTCAAGAGTCGTCCCTGAATCCTCCTCGCCTGGGGTTCCTGAATCGCTAACGCCACTGCGTATTTAGTTTGTTCGTCGTTCATTAAGCTTTCATGTACGGCACCCTGCTTCCTCACATTCAATTGGATTATTCGAAGTGTTTTATTCATGACGTGGTGGGTAGAGCTTCCGGCAATTCTTGCTAAACGATTCATGTGGCCCACCGCATAGAACACACTTTGGAACCTCTTGATCGCAGCGACTGTGGTGATGACCCTCCGTGGCGCACTTTGCGCACTTCTGGGTCTTCCTGCATTGGAATGCCTTGTGACCAATCTCTTGGCAGTTGTAACATTCCATCGGTCGTGGTCGATATTCAAAGACGCCGGTTGTCCCGGATTCCCCTCCAACGTGGAAATATCCGTCGGTCAGGAGCCTCCGCGCGTCGGAGCCTTTGGTGAGGTACACGACCATCGACCCATATGGCTTCGCGGCTTCCTTGCTGCTCAGCCACGTCATCTTGGCGACTGTAGTTTCGTTTTCTTCACTCAGGGCTACGGCTGCTCCAGCTAGGATGGCATGGTTGTCATCCAGCACCGCAGCCCTCTTGACGCCGTCAACCTTGACCGGGTAGAGCTCGTCCCGGAGCACCCGGGCTCCCGTTCCGATCTTTTCTTCCGCCACTTTCTTGACCAGCTGGTGCTCGGCTTCATCGCGACATGCGATCCTGATCCGGTTGGGATCTCTTGGGCCGACAGTAATGCGCGACAGCGCCAGAGAATGTGATCATCCATCGTTCGGATCTCTTTCTCGATTGCGGCCCTGATTGAGCCTGCAGATTTCTTTTCGTTTTCATTTTCGGTCATCTTCGAGGTGTCTATCGAACAGTACAAAGTTTCGGTGAAGGTGGTCGGTGTCGTGCCCAGCGTTGACAGTGTCCGTATGTTGCTTGGGTAACTGGTTGGAGGAGTGCGCGCGACATCTGCATAGGACGGGGAACTCGTTGGGGCGGGGACACTGATTTCCTCGCGCAAGGATTGAATCTCGCGGAGAATCGCATCATGGTTGTTCAGGGAGTACGACTCGGGTTGGGGTTGCGGTGTCGCGGGTCTATCTGCTAGGGTCTGTAGCTCGTGTCGAACTTCTGCAAGGGCGGCGCTAAACTCTTCTTTGAGGGCTATAAATTCTTCTTTTACTTTTTGGAGCTCTTCCTTGTGTAGTTCATCTCGCTGTCTGATCTCCTTCCTGAGTTTGGCAAGTTCCTTCAACAGTTCCGACGCGATCGGGCCCTCGCTCTCTGTTGATGATTCCGAGGCGACCGCTTCACGTTGGGCTACTGGCTTGCTCTGGTTCTTCTTTTTCTGCTGGGAACCGTGCGTTGTTTTGTTCGATATCGAGTTCTTGCTCCTGGGCATAAATGTTGGGTGGCCTGGTGGTGCGTCTCGGCCTCAACAATCGCGGTGGTGATTTTTCGTGTTCGTCGCGGTCGGGCGGTTCAGGGGTTCGCGTCTCGGCCCGTCCCGTCATTTTCGCTCGATTAATGTCGCGCGTCGGAATGAGTATGTGTACAGCAATCTCCTCTGATGAAGATCCTCAAATCTCTACAGGGCCGCTCGAAATCAGTTTCTGGCAGAGATACAGTAGAATTCGAAAACAGTTTCCCCTCTGGACACATATAGCTCGTTTCTCGGTTCGTACCCGAAACCGAGCTAGTCCAAAAATGGATATAGATGTAAACAACCCATTTCTAAGAATAGACTGATTTAATACCGGGACGATCAAGTTACGTATAATATTCCATGTTACATGAAACCCTGATACACTGCCCCTCCATTGCTCTCCATGCTGTTTTCCTAGCCACCCATCCTTTCGCAATCACCACTTTTGCTCATCCGTATAATTCACCAATAAATATGGCACCGAGACTATCCCCGTCGAAACTGCAGTTCATTCATGATATGATAAAAAGCCGATCACTAACCACACCTCAAATGGCTGATGCAGCCGAATGCAGCGATCGAACGATCAAGAATATTCGCAGGAACTTGCGGCTGTTCGGGGATGTCTATGCCCCTCCGAATCATATCGGTCGAAGACGCACTGTAACGCCACCAATGCTTGACGCTATTTGTGATCATCTGCTCGAGAAACCGGGTCTCTACCTCGACGAAATGGTAATATTTCTATGGGATGAATTTCGAATACTTGCAACAACCTCAAGTATTAGGAGGGCTCTGACAGTTACAGGCTGGTCTAAGAAATCCATTCGCCAGAGAGCCAAGGAACAGAATGCAGAATTACGGGAATTATATCTTCATAATATCTCAGAATTTGAGTCGTATCATCTAGTCTACGTTGACGAGTCTGGTTGTGATAAACGAATCGGATTCAGGAGAACCGGCTGGTCACCACTCGGTGTTGCCCCAGTCCAAGTTTCACAGTTTCACCGTGATGAACGGTATCAAATACTCCCTGCGTATGCTCAAGATGGTATCGTGCTTTCTCGCGTTCTTCGCGGTTCAACGGATGCCGATGTATTCGAGGACTTCCTCGGACAGCTTCTTCGGCACTGTGGAAAATGGCCGGAGCCGAAATCTGTTTTGGTCATGGATAACGCATCGTTTCATCACTCTGAACGTATTGCGCAGATGTGTGCTGATGCTGGAGTCAAGTTGATTTATCTACCTCCTTATTCGCCAGACCTCAACCCAATTGAGGAGTTTTTTGCTGAGTTAAAGAGCTTTATCAGACGTAGTTCGTGCTACTATGAGGAAAACCACAGTCAAGGATTTGATCATTTTCTTAATTGGTGCATTGAAGCAGTTGGAACAAAGGGGGAGAGTGCAGAAGGCCATTTCCGGCACGCAGGCCTAACAATCGAATATCTAGATTGTCGGCAAGGCTAGACTCTTCTGGGTGGATATTTGCTTGCTGATTGATTACTTTTTCCACCCCATCTGTAAATCCCAATCAGCGTCTAAGGAAGGAATTATACAATCGACAATAGTATCGTGATTGCTCCTGAGGTGTGTCCACATAGCCTTGTCATTATCGTAGCTGCGGTGATCCTTGACACTGGAGCTACAATCAAAGCAGTACCACATATGGTTGTGCGCATCAATTTCTCCAGCGCGCCCGGGGCGTTTGATGAAACTAGCATGGAAGCGACGAACATGCTCGATCGCTTCTCGTAAGTAAAAATCTTCTTCGTGTTGCGTGCACGTTAAAACCTGCATGTTGAAGCCCGAATATAGCTGTCCTACGTCAATTCTTGCATTATGTATTGCAATACACGCCTCGGATTTTACCTCTCAGGAAGTCAACGAATTTTAGTGGCGTTTTTAAATACTGGAATGAGCGAAAATTGCCTCGATAAGATAGAATTGCAGTAAAATTGCCTGGGTCATGTAACAAGATGTTAAGTTAGTTGGCTATTTATCTTAGGGTGTCGGTATTACGTCATGATCTTGTACACGTCATCAAAATCATGCAAGACAATAAGCTGCTCGGGTTTTCGTGCTGTACTCGAAGCTGCAAGCACATGACAGCTCATGCAGTTTTCTGTTCCTATGTGTTTGAACCCATCATCTAACGGACATGAACTTTGACAGTAAATGACCCCACCCCTATCGCCTACAGTTACAAATCGATCATTCTTGAAGGCAAAAATCAAAAGATGCCAGCGAGTTTCCTGAGTCTTCCTGCTGAACTCCGCAATGAGATATACAAGTATCTCCTAGTGTGTAGAAATCCTATTAATCCTTGGGGCACAGGACATGAGCTTGCGTCAAATCTCCTCTCCACGAACACGACAATCCTGTACGAGGCCAGCTCACTACTCTATGGCAACAACTGCTTTGACCTCACCTCATTGAGCCCTAAACTTATATCCGAATTCCTTAATGCTATTGGCTTGGTCAATGCTTCTCACCTTCAATGTATCCGCATCGACTTTCCTGAATTTCGCAACTTTGAAGACGAGGTCAGCTTTGAGGATAACCTACACACTTTAGCAATGATCCAGGCATACTGCACCAACCTCAAATACATCACAACGACCGCTTCAACCAGATATTTCCATGGAAATTCAACTAGATTCAGACAGCCCTACGATTTGTGATAGGGCATTGGCGTTGGTTGGCGCTCATTTCAGGGCAATGACGTCACTGGAAGAAATTGTCATGAAAGTTTATGATGATGATGATATATCAGAAGGAAAATGCAGAGTCATGGGTGGACACTCAAGGTGGTAGAGCCAGTAAAAGAAGAGGAGTGGGATAGTCGAGAATTTGTGATGATACTGTAGGAGAAAATAGAAGAGGGCCTTCCCTTTTACAGAAACAACTAAATAAGGCCAGATTTACGCTTTTTCCCATCCCGCAAATTATATCAATGGGAGAAACTATTTCACTCTAGATACAAGACGTAGCGCGAGGAAGCAAATGAGAGAGAGCTTCCTCGCGTTCAGGGGAACTCAGATAAGCTATGTGGGTCCACCCACTTATCGTATATACATCATGTCAGTCTCTGACAAAACCTATACGAAATCCTTGGACTCATCCTGGGACGCAACGTCTCAAATTTTTGAGGTCTCACGCAGCTTTCTACTCAATCCAAGCCTCTACTCGATCTGAGATTCGCCGATGATTCTAGCCACTGTTTGAATCACGGACGACAGAGTAAAATGTATGGCCTGCTCGAGCTCTTTGCGGATGATACGATTCTGCACATCGGTGTTGCTAGGCTGGCCACCTGTTCTCTAACTTTACGAAACTCGTCGAGCACTGCTTGGTTTTCCAGGCTTAACCGTCGAATCTTTGTTTTTAGCTGGGCACGCTCAAGCTCAAACATTGGCGCCATATCGATCGCCGTCTGTTGCTGCTCCGTGAGACGTAGCTTCAGTTGTCGCTGGCGCTCGTCGACGATCCGGATAAACTTGATACAGTTCGCGTGAACAATCTCAAAATTGGATCTCTCTTCTGCGGAGATGACATCACCCGCCGGGTTGGCGACTATCAACCGAAAACGGCATAATTAGTTAAGAACAATTTGATCGGCCGAAGCGACATACCATGGCATTCATTTGGGTGCCCCGGGAGATATAAAGGTGCGGACGACCGGCTGTAGAACGATGAGGATGAAGCCTCTGGGTCCTAGATTCGCCTGTCTCTGCTTGGGCTTGAAGCATTCGAGTAGGCATATTCGAATTCTGGACAGTGGCTGTCACCTTAGGCATGCTGGTTGGCAGGGAAATATAGAAAAAGCAAGCGAGTGATCCTCAAGATTATATTGCCGTATAAGCAGTAACGCCTTTTCAAGTTTGGGGATGATGCTTGAATTGATGTAAATTCCTCAATTTGACGAAAGGAAATGATCAATCAAATGAAAGTAGCGAGTTGACATGGAGAAAGGCGTAGAACGTTCTTTCGCTTATTTTTCCTCGATGAGGGCGAATATGCTTTCTCCGGCCATCGCCCAATCTCGGATCTTAATCCAACGCTAAACCGAAATTACATAGTGTAAAAATCGACACCCATTAATCCATGCGTCAACCTGCAACCCTATAGAAACACAGAACAAATAAAAAGGGGTAAAATATCGCCAGAGTTTCAACCAAGGATGAACCATGGGTCGACTCTGAGCTTGCGTGGGTCTTCCAATCAGAGAACCCAAGAGGACCTAACACCTCTAAAAAATCTTCCCCACCCCACCGGAGTAAGTTAGAGCGGAAACTAATCATTCCTGAAGTCGTCCATTTGCAGATCAGTTGTCTCGGCTAAATCGTATGCACGTATTGTTCTCGGGGCACAAGGACCAGTTCAAGTAGTCTTCTGTAGGTTCAGAGGCCATGCCATTGGCCCATTGCTGATCGGCTAGGAGGTACAGGATTTTGCTCGCTTTACCATTCTCGTGTAACACGTTTTAAGAGAACAGTAGCAAGAAGAATTTGTTTGCGGTGGGCCGTGTATACTCGATACCTGGACCGAGCCGTGAGCTCCACCATGGGGCGGAAGGCGGTCATTCCCATGGTTCAACCACGGTAGCATGTGCATGTCTCACATATGGTCACACGATACGTGGGATCCAACCCCTCAAAAAGAATTGGCTGGCAAGAAAATATTGATGACGACCGCTGTTGGCTAAATGGGGGTGACGGGAATTTCTATAGCTCGGTCAAACAACATGGCTTCTCGTTATGGTTAAACGGGCCGTTAAATTATTTCCAATGCGTGTTTGTGGACTAGTGAGATGGTATCACGGACAAATGAGTAAATCCAAAGTTTATCTCACGCCTTGCCTCTAATCTCTCTCTCAAAATGATGGACAACATATGGTGAAACACTAACGCGATGGACCGTTCAGGTGGGTCCTATCTTGGACGGCCTAATTCTAGGTGAGAAAAAAAGAAAAACGTTTTAAATGCGGCAAACGGAGCTATAACCGTTATTTTCCTTGCTTGAAAAACACCCTCCGGTGGTTCACCGTCTTAGACACAAGTCCACACGCCTGTGTCTCTACACGTTTCCTGAAAGGTGTCTACTTTTATGACTGGTTGTTTGAAAATTTACTGGGCTTGAAATTATTAGTTTCAAACAAATACAAAGGGGAAAAAATGAAAAGTTAGGATAAGACGGGAACGTTTGAAGGACTCATCTATGATTGCACTGCTAGAGCCAGTATTCCGCCTGCCTCAGCTAAGTGGAACAATTGGTCTCCACGCCAATTCCACTCACCAAGCCATAGATAGCGAAGTTCTAAGGGGCCATCTCACATATACTCCACAGGGGCGATGCTTTGATCTATAATAAGGCGGCACTTTACTCTCATCTCTGCAGTCTCACGTCCATCCTCGCTTTTTTTTCACTTATCTGGCACTGCAATTGAAAATGCCTTCCGGTCAGAACTCGTCCCCACAAACCGGCTCAAAGAGTTACAGGGAACGCCTTTGTCAGAGATTGGCACCCCCTCGTCCTCAAAGAAAAAAGACAATCTGGAGCCCGGCAAGCTCAGTGGATGGTGGCAATAATAGCGAAGACGATGTTCCAATGGAGAGCGAAGCAGACGAGGAAGGGCCTCCGAACGAAGAGATGGAGGCCGTGTCTAATGATGAAACTGTCAAAGTCCTCCTAAAATGTGCTGCGGAGTACGTGCTTTGAATTAACCCTTCTGTTACTGATACTTCCTGAACCTCAACTGACGGCCTCCTAGTGTGGACAAAAGACTACAGTAGGCGAACCATGCTTTACAAAACCAGAGACTTGCTAAAATCAACCAGGTTTGCGACGGAATCGGTAGAAAGCACTCAACAAGACGTGGAGGATTTGAAGGCGGCTATCCGGAACATTGAGGATACACTACAGGGATGGCAAAAGCATTTGGGGATCGGGGATGAAAAAGGGAAAAGCGGTGCTCGCAGCGGTAGCCGCCTGGCACGGGCCAAGCCCCAAGCATAAACGCATGTAATTCAAATATCTTGGGCAATGAATGTATGAAAGAAAGTCATGGGCTCTCATGTATTCCGAGGCTTCCGCAACTCGAATTTTGAAGAAGCTTTCGCCATTTTTCTCTACGGCCATACCGCTAGGGGTGCAGATCGTTGATCCAATCGGGCATTTTATGGAGCACCTTGGACTAGATCACGCTACTGAGGTTCGAGCTAAACTAGATGTGATCAGCCCCCCAACGCAGATCAAATGTCAGCTCGGACAAATTCAGGAGCCTCCATTTGTTTTCATTCTCCATCAATACAAGACGTGTTTGATCATCTCATTTCCTGTTGCGGTGCAGAGGTGAGTAGCTACGTGGATGTAATCTCCCACTTGCCCTTTAGTTCCTTCACGGAGAATTTCTCGATCATGCCGAAAGAGCGCGATCGGCTTTGGCTCCAGCAATCGGAAATCAGATTTCGCTCATAAAGTGGTCCGAGATGCATGCGAATTTTTCATTGGCTGTCTGATTAATTTTTCCATTCGTCGGAAGTGACCGCCCCCTGAAATAAAACGACCGGGTTCGAACCCCACTAGATCCACAGTATAAGCCCAAGCTTGGATTTTCACCGCGGTCCTCCCCGACCCGTCTTGGTTAAAGTTTAGCTATAATAGGTATGATTTTCGGAAGAGTAATCGCCACAGGGGCTAGGCGAGGGACTAAGTGCAGGCGTGGTTGCGGAAGTGGACCAAGCTCGCCTAAGATGATTGTCGCGTTCTTGCGTGCAGTTCTTGGCGCGCGCTGTACGCGATCTACACGCGATCACCAGCCCACGCGGCTGCTTTACTCGGAGGATCTCAGGATGAAGTGTATGATGAATTATGCTTAGATACTTAGCTGAATAACATGGAAGGACGTCTTTGGCTACAGAACATCATTTAAGCCTGCGCACCATGTGGTGCGGTAGTGGACATATTCGGCTGGTTTGGTATAAGCCCATTGCCAAACCACCCTGCCCCCGGCAACGTCATGGGCGCGCTTGGCAGCGTATAGGGGCCCATACCCATAGATGGCGCTGTCTGACTCAAGGGGTGGTCTTGGAACACATCGGATCCTGGTAAAAACGTGGAATATTGTCTGTTCTCCAGCATAGACTTGTTCTCCGAGACGCTCTGGGCAGTGGCGAGAAGATTGGTCTGGATTCCGTTGAGGATAGTTTGAACCTCAGTCCACGACACTTGACCTTGAGAGCTGGCAATTGAAGTCTCATTCTGTTGCTTCAACTGTGCGACCTCATTCTCGAGCTCCCCGCAACGCCTCTCAGCTTGTTCCTTGTCTACGGTGACTTGCTGTAGTTCCGTACGCAGCTTCTGTATGGAAGTCGAGGCTTCATGCCTCTCTTTGACGATGGTCGCATTCAGGCGGCGGGTGCCTTGGTCGGCCTCATCGAGCATATCCAGACAGTTCCGGTGCGCCTCCTCCCACGAAAGCTCCCCTGTCGGCTCAATCGTGGCCTCTTTCTTGGCCTCTGAGATGAATGCCTGGGCCCATACTGTCAGCGGCAGTCTAGATAGTACAGTAACTGAACAGCGGTCCTACCTGTACCTGCGAAGACTTTCGCTTCGGGTTCGTCGATTTCGAAACTCGGCCAGAATCACTGCTCAGCTTGTTTGCTCCTGCATCCGTCTTCCCACTGCTTCCGGTCTGACCGGGGTTTGTCACACGGCTGACCATGCTGTGAGAGCTCTTGAAGTCGGTGAAAGGATGGCGGAGCTGAGCAGGTGTCTTTACTCGACTCCATTAGTGGACAAATCTAGCTTCATATAAGAGGGCGCGTGGCCAGTACGGCGCTAGTGCAACGCGAAGACCCATCGAGTTCAACGCCGTTTATCCCCGTGTGTCGAGTCTGAAAGCTAGTGAAAGATCGTTCATGATCCCGGTCAATTAAACTGATAGTTGACCGATGCCAAGCCATGGGCATTTATGAGGAAGACAGGCCCATATTTCTCTTTTGTTTTTCGTGTTATTGTTTTTTTTTTAAAAAAAAAAAAATTTACGAGGTATCGTTTCTCGTCGAAGATCCCCTCTGCAATCAGCTCCGTTTTGCTCATAACCGGTCGTCAAATTCCTAACGACCAATCTCATTGAGAGGCTTGGGCCCTACGTGTCGTGTGACCGTAATTGAGGCATGGCCATACTACCGTGGTCGAACCATGGGAATAACCGCCTTTCGCCCCATGGTGGAGCTCACGGCTCGGTCCAGATATCGAGTACACACGGCCCGCTATAAACGGTTCCCACTGCTACTGCTCCCTGAAAACGCGTTGTGCGGGAGTGGTGTGGCGAGGAGGACTCTTGTACTTCCCAACCGAACCAGCAATGGGCTAAGGGCATGACCACTGAACAGGAGACTGCTTGCATTGCTCCTTGTGCCTAACAATGCATACACACGATTTGGCGAGAACAACTGATCTACAACTCAACCACTTCAGGGACGATTAATTTTATTCGGCTCTAAACTCCGCTCCTGGTGGAGAACAAAGCTTTTTCAGAAGCATTATGCGGACCTTTTGGGTGCTCTGTTTGGAAGACCCACGCAGGCTAAAAAACGAACCATTGTTCACCCATGGTCGAGACTCGCGATATTTTACCCCTTTCAAGGCGGAATTTATTTAATTTCTGTTTGTAATAGGCTGGCGCGAATTGGTAATGAATTAATTTGTGCCGATATTAACCATAATTCCTCGGTCCAGCATGGGGTTAAGATCAGAGATTGGCCGATGGTCGGATCAGGTCCATTCGCCCCTATTGGGAAAGTAAAGCGAAAGAACGTTCTACCCGTTCCTCCTCCGTGTTACAACCATTTCTATACCAACGAGGAAAACCGTTTCTACGCAAAATTCCGAATGGCTCGACCGAGTGCACCACGTCCGCATAGCAAAGCAAATTCTCCTGCTTCAAGGAGGCGAAATTTATCCGCTCTCCCGGCCTGGTACAGTGGTTCAGCTTCTAATCGTCTTCAACAAAAAAGATTCTATCGACGTCCGCAGTCAACAAATATATCAGCTCCGCGGGTAGGTCATAACCATTCAGAAGAAAAGACTGTACCTGAATTTTTTTTTTTTTTTTTTTTTTTTTTTTTGCAGGCCGGTCAAACACCGGAATTTGAACCAGTTGACAATTCCAAGCATACAAGCCCGCCTTCCAGGGAATATGAAAACGCCTCGCCTCAAGCCGATAAATACCAACAGCGGAGAGAACCCATCACCGACCCCAGCCTTTGCGCTATTATACACAGATTACAGCGGGAGAACCAAGAGATGACAACTCAGCTTGATGTACTTCCGATAAAGAGGCCACCGGGGCGTTAAGAGGTCCGGTGGAGTTCATGTAACTTATACGGTCATAGATTGTAGCTTCTGTCTGTCCACTTGGTTATGCCTTCAAACTCAGACAAAGCTGTCGTAAACCCAATAAATCAACTTTTTGAGCACTTTTGGTAGATGCAATTGTACTTGGTGCGCCCGGTGAAAGCCCATGGCTTTCGAACCACTCCCAAGTGAATCTGGTTTTGCGTAGTTGTATGATCAACATCGGATTTCCTTTTTTAGTCATAAGTCGGGGGTTGGGGGATTTAGCTGCCTTGGCGCTCTTGCAAAAACTATAAAAAGACTCAAATGTCCCAGGGTTTGGAAAGCAGAATCTGGCAATCTGTCTTTCTAAAGACTTCCTCATCCCCTCCTCCCAGTGATGCCGGAGGAGTACAAAGTCATCAACCGGGCTCGTCACCTGAATAATTGCACAGTGAGGGCTGGCGACCTCTTTAATATCACACTACACCGGTCTCGTCACCTTTCCAATCAGACTACATCGGGCTCGTCACCTGTATAATTGTACAGAGAGGGCTACTACTCCCTTCGGGTTCGTCACCTTGTAAAATTGTACGGCGAGGGCTGGTGACCTCTTTAATATCACACTACACCGGTCTCGTCGCCTTTCTAATCAGACTACATCGGGCTCGTCACCTGTAAAATTGCACAGAGAGGGCTACTACTCCCTTCGGGTTCGTCACCTTGTAAAATTGTACGGCGAGGGCTGGTGACCTCTTTAATATCACACTACACCGGTCTCGTCACCTTTCTAATCAGACTACATCGGGCTCGTCACCTGTACAATTAGACTTGCAGGGCTTGTCTACCTCTTTAATCTCAAACACTTCAGCGATTGGTGGGCACCTCTACGTGGTGCTGAAGACTAGTACCCAAACCTCTCGGTGGGGAAACTAAGACCTGCCAGATGGAGGATTTTGATGTGAAAACTACTTAGCTGATTCTCGGTGCAATGGCATAAACTATGCCCCGAGAAATAAATTCCGGATAATGTAAGCGCAAATCAGTTCCATTCGAGTTCAGTCAGTGGCCACTAAAAGGCCGAACTAGATGGTCAAGTAATAGTCGTATTTGAGCTTTAAGAATGGGCTGCCACCAATTGAGTCAGTTTCCTAGACTCATTTTTGCATGATATGTTTTCTTCATCCTTTGGTACTACACCTGCAAGAAAGTCGATGTCGAATCAGGGAGAGAACTTAGCAATCACCAACTAGTAGCAGATGCTTCTGGAAATAGCAAATGCAATGAAGAATGCCTTGAGTGTACTCCCAGCTATTTTGCCGCTTGTCACAAGCTTTCTATTGCTTCTCTCAAACCACTCCAGCAGTGGTTGGGCTCTTGTAGTAATCACTATTCCATTGCGTGCTTGTGCATTGCTTGTAGAGCTACTAGTGTGTAGCATGCATATCTGCGTGTAGACGTTAATCCTTTTCCATGTGTTGGTGTTTCAACCGCTACGGGACCGTGAGCAAGATTACCCGATTACCCTGCAGTACCAGTGCAACTCAAATAACCGGTCAGTGAACAATTATTGCGGGCTTAAGTTATATCGTTCAAAAACAGCGGTCAACCGTTCTTGAAGGTGCAAGAACAATACCTTCCTGTTCACCAGTGGGTTTCGCCTCGTACGTGCTAGATTTCACAGTATCCACCAGCACGAGCTCTAGATGGGCATCTAAAGAACACTCTTCCCAATCCTTGGGCGGTTCTTCACCACACGAAAATAGCGAACAAAAGCTACTCTCATTGATTGTTGGTCAACGCGGTTAACAACCGGGCAATCCTGAGCGGCCCGCAACTGGACCCACAACTGGACCCACTTAATCGATCGTTTATCATCAGGCTACAAAACTGCCCGTGAAACGGGCAACAAACGGGGTTACAAGGTGCAAATCCATTCCTATCGGTGAGCAACCATTTTGAAGCTCTGGTGCCAGCCGTCCTAGCCCCATTTACTCAATTCAACGATTTTTGTCTTCTTGCGTCCTCTTCCCCTAGTATTGGTCTTCCTGTCAAGTGAAAGTGAGGCCACTATGGACCGTGTCACCTCAACGTCCTTCGCGAGAGGCAAATTCCGTTAGCAATAACGAAATATAATGCGGGAGCCTCAATTCTCTATCAGCCCCGGCAAAATCTGCTTAAATAGAATGCGAAGATCTGACCATAGCTACGAAAAAGATTTGGCCTACAGTACCCCCGCCAAACAAAAAGAGATAGCTTATCACCGGCAAAGAGAGAAGTAAAGAGCTCCTCGCCATTATTATCAACATGGATGCAGCAGTGAGTTCACCCTTCAATATCAATACCTCGTGCTCATCAAAAATAGGACGTTCTTCGAATGCTAGCAAGGCTTGATACGAGAACACTTCGAGCCGAACGAGCTCAGGCCAAGCTGGAAGAAAGTCTGGCGACTGCAGAGCAGACGTTGAAGCAAACGACCCTGGACTAGACCAGGTCGCCCGGCTAGCGGAAATCTTTTACGAAAGCAGTCATAAGCTAGGAAATATGGTGAACCACTTGCTAAAGGAACGCGGGATGTTGCAGAATGGCCAGCAGCCGGAGTCATTGAAAGCCATATTGGATGTTGTCCAAAAGGAGATAGATGAAAATGCCGAAAAGGAACCCGATAGCAACGATGCTAGGAGTGAACCTACACCCCCCAGCGAGTCTGCAGATCAGCAGGGGCCAGAGTGAACAAGTTACTTGAATGTTTCATTTTCTTCACGCCTTCTTTGACGTCGGATATAAATATGAATGACACTGCATATATAACTAAGCCTACATGCCCGATACTTGAACGTACGGACCTCCACAAAGAATTTCAAACATATATCCCATGGAAGACCCCAAACCTCCTTCCCGAACCCAGGAGCAAAGCCATGCACTCGCACGAGCGCTGAATTTTTGGTTGTCTGATAACGCAAAAGACGTGGAAGAGAGATCTTGGGTTCTCGACTTTGACATTGAGAATGGGCGCACGCGACGGTCAGCGCTCCATCGCCAGAAGATTTTCGGTCTCTGCGGACCAGTATTGACGAACTCGGACATACTCAGATGCCACTCAAGCGGAAATATGAGTCTAAGTAAGGTTGAATTGATCTAAAACATTTGAATCGTGAGATAAGCTGGGTAATGCATAAACTCTCCATGGGTAGATTGTTTTCACTCTTGATACGCCTGACTTCAAAATGCTCGCGTCTACATACAACACAGATCATGAACAGACTCTTATGTCTGAGCCCTTAGTATTCGTAATGTTTAAAGAGATGTCGAAATTTGCCTTATATGGGTCAGGTCTTCCACGCTACCAAACACGAGAAAAGCGGACGATGGCTTTTTTGTAGTTAAGGGCGATCACCTCGTGGACTGGGGCTGAACAAAGATTTGTGGAGACGTTTTGGTGAGACGGTCAAGAGAGTTGAGACCGCATTGAAGGATCAAAGTGCAATAATGGTCGAATGTTCAGCAGCGAAATTTCGTGGTACAGTCATACCCTTCTCATCTTCAAGGTTCATGCTGTTCCTCCATTGTTCGAGAAATCGACCCCATATCTCTTCCAGAATCTAGGTCGCGTAATAGATGCTGGGTTGGTGGGATAGTGTGATTGTGATAACGTGGAGTTGACTGAGCACCCACCAAGACTCTCTCATTCGGCAAGGTTTGTTTTTGTGAGCTCTTGGATGCTGATTTTGACAGGCTTTCCAGGTTCAAAGTCTGCACGGGGTCTGGCAAAATGCCCATTCCTGACGCTTGGGTGTGTTGTTGGACCGATGGCCGACCTACTGAGGACACTTTCCTGGCTGGCTCATTCGAGTGATTTTGCCCATGCGATGGATCCTGACTAAAGCTTGAGTCACCCCTTTTGGGTGAGATTTTTGCAAGTCTCTGGCTAGTGCTTTGCATTGGTGTTTCAGTACCTGACGCCACAGACATCCTCTCAGGCTTTGCCGCATTATAACCTTCGCAAAGGGAGCCACTTCTTAAGCAGTTATTACCTGGGTTTCATTAGTATCATTACAACCCATTTATAGAGACGGTATGGAAATCGGAACTTGCATACATGACGGCTTCTTTTCATCGCATTTTTTCCGCTTTCGGCGGCAAGTGATACACCCAGTCTTTGTTCTCGATTTGACTACACGCTTAGGCTTTTCCCGCGTCCATTCAACTTCGTGTCCTGTGCTGCTACTCGTCATCAGTAATTGTTGGTATCCAAGGACTGCCACACCGGCATTCTCTTGATGGTTGGCTCCTCCGTGAGGTTCTCCGCCCGATGGATGCCTAGTAGCAGAGTCGTCTTTATCTGCTTGCCCGGCCTGGTTTATGGTCTTCCATCCATGGTTGTACCGTCCAGACATTGAGGCTCGCTCCTTGGCCAATTCTGCCTCATGACCAACGACGGACGCTTGCGTGACAATGTGATTTTCTGGGAAAGAACTATTATGTTCACCATCTGTTGATGGTCGCAGGGTGTCAATCTGTGGCATTGAAATGCTAGCGGTAGATGTTGTGAGCGGATGAGGTGCTGAGATAGAAACATCTGGTTCATTTTCTAGTTGCCGAAATGTTCAGTTAAAATGTCGGTTGGCTTTTTTCCTCTAGTGAGATATCCGCTTCCTCATCCGCCTTAGCTTGAGAAGCGTCCCCGAAGAGGATGATATTGACGTAATGGAATGGCCAAGGGGACTCACCTGGGAGAGCTTCTAGGCTTTCTGTCGAGACAACATCATTTGAAGACTGTCCGTCTGATCTCAAGTAGGGTATTTGTAGCTCATTCAACATAGCGCATGGTTCTTCATGCGAAGAATTCAATTCACTCGTTCGTCCTGGTCGGTCGTTGCCGTCATTAGCGTTGCATTGATGTTGTCGTGTACCTTCGGCATCCACAAACTCAAACTGTCCAGTCAATCGAGTACTAATATCAACATCTTCGGGGGTCGAAAAGCGCTGTGCAGGGCGTGGAGGTGGCGATTTTTCTTTTCTGGTCTCTGGGTCAGGGTTGCCTTTATTTGAGGTAGATCCGGAGATCATTTTCATTGCTTTGGACACTTCTGCAGGATCAGTTGACGCCAAGGAAGAACCACAGCCAGAGCGATTTGTCGCAACTGGGACTTCTCCTGGCGCTTTGCGTTTCAATGAAGTCCCCTCTTTTCTGTTGGTCAGCTCGCCCCAGCCTAATTTATAGAGCTGGGATTGCAACGAGCTGAAGCTTCTTTCTTTCCCAGAAAAGGCATGGTATTCATCCTCCAAAGCCTCCTTTGGTAGGTGCCTATGATCTTTGAACCACCCAGGCAACTTTTCGGTCTCATCTTGAGACCAGGGAAGGCCAGGCCCACCTTTGACTAAAGTGAAAGTCAGCTACTGGAGGAAACAACCTCTGGAGATACCGACCTTTTCTTTTCTTGGACCTTGAGAGCGACGACGGCGTGTCTGTTCGTCTGGATTCAGCGGGAGAGCCCTTTTCAATGGTTGCATTGTACCTCAGCCCGCCCACGTGCGTCTCCAAGGTACTGAGTTTTCCTTTCAGGAACTCCAATCGTGCGGTTAGCTCGCCGAGAACGCCTTTGGTTGTGTGGGATACTAAGATACTGCTCGTTAGCATTTCGGTTTGCATTGAGTATATGTGATCTTGAGAACGACAGACACTGCCCGACTATATCCTGCCAGTGCGAGATTCGGTCAAACGCGAGCTGGGCAGCATTGATTTCCAATGCCAGATCGCCAGAGTATGAATGGGGATCGGCAAGCTGTCGAGGAATTGTTGTGCCAATGAAGTCGTAGTCCGCTTTCGACAACTCTAGCACTGCGTTGTCTTTCTCGATTCGGACGTGATATTTCCCATCAGCTTGGAGCTCTACGTCATACACAGAAGATCGTACGACATCGGCCCAGCAGATAGGAGAGTCACTTGTCTTTTCAATCTGGACCACGTGCGGATCAGGTGAGCTAAAAGTGGACCAAGCCCGGCGGCCTTATGATCACTGACAAGCGGAATATTCAACAGATGTGCGAAGTTGACACCAGCTTGCAGAATAGTTTGGTATGATTCCAGCAGTTTCAATATCGTCTGGAGATTGACGTCCGAAGGAAGAAAGAAGCGCGAAATTATTTCGGTGTCAGACAATTCCTCCGCTCAGTGGGAACCCCGTTCAGGTTGGGGGTCTTTGTATGAAGAATTCATTAGGATTTGCCCTGTGGTATGGAATATCGAAAGAAGAAATGAAAAGCCGAGATCGCAACAGTCGTCTGAAAATGAAGTCGGGTTTGAAGGGGCAATTCCGCGGAAGTATTTATTCGACGGGCGTCAATGCTCGCGCGGGCTTAGTCGGCAATCAAAGACGAGCTGAGTCAAAAATCCTTCGAGCGCATGAACGCGTGCGACGATTGGCTAATCCCAAGGAAAGATATTACCCACCATTTGAGTTAAATACCCGAACATTTTACCATGCCTACTGTTTACTTCGACATGACTTTCTCTTCATAATTCGTCATGTTGATAAAGTATTCAGTAAGGTTGACGGAACAGCTGTAAAAAACAGAGATGAATCATCAATTTTATCCAGCCAAAAGAGGAAAGGCGTCAAGAAATTATACATATGCAGGTTCATGCGGGTCGATGAGGTTGGACCTCAACGAACCTCCTTGAGGTTCAGGGTAGGTTCAGGTTAGAAAGGTTGGAACCTAACCTCAAGAGGTTAGGTTCCGGTTCTGAGATTTGGAACCTATGGGCGGTTTAAAGCCAGGTCTAATTACCAGTGATTTGCCATCCATTGAGCCTGGAGCAAGCCGTTCTTAGATCCCCCTTTCAAGGCATTTTTGCGTAGCATCATGAGAGCGAGCTACATCGGGCAAACAAATTTATAATCATCGTCGTCTTTGATAATCTCTTTTTCTTCTTATCCGTCAATCTGTCGGGAAAGGCGATTGATAATTCCAGATGGCGGTGTACATAACATTTTGGGTAGACAAGCGTGGCATATTTACGAGGATAGCGGGAACGCTGCATGGGATACATCTTGATGTTGGCTTGAGGTCCAAGCGGTGAAACTGGCAAATTGACTTAGAAGGACCCTCATCACTACCTAAGCTACAAGCTGATCATCAAAAGGTGGGCCACTGCTTGAGCTTTTCACTATCAAACGGGACCAATGACCATCAAATGATATGAGCTCGACACGTCAGCATGGAGAAACTTATGGATGAACTTCCAGTCGACCACTGATAAATTAATCATGGCCATGCACTCTTTTTAATTCATCAAATTTTATTTCGACTTTCTGGTCTTCAAAACTCTGATTCGCATATAATCCATATTTCTCTACTTGAGTGCCATCATAATGTCTACTGAAGCTCAGCTCGATTTTGCCAAAGCAGAATGGCTATTTGCTGCCAAACAAGCCCGTGCCGTGAAGGAGCTCTCCAAAAAGTATTACGACTATGAAAGAGAAGCCGGAATTGTTGACAAGGAAACCTTTGACCAATGGGTCATAAACAATGTACGCAGATATGCTCTCATACGACCTGGTATACAGCTAACGGCCAGTGTTTAAGAGCCCTGGATTCGTTAATGCTTACCAGGAATTCCAGACCAAGTCGGCTCGATACCAAGCGATTTTCCATGATCATGACAAGGAGAAAGCAGAAGCCTGGCAGCAGGAATACGCAAGTAAATGGGCTGAGAAATATAATGGCCCTGGGCAAGAAAACCAATCCAATTATCTCATTATTACTCCTGAGTTTTAGCGGTATTCACATACAAGCCCCGCCCAAAAGTCTGTGGACAAATCGCCCCACATGTTACCACAACAATGTATTTGATCAGAGGAAAATAGATAGCCTTATTTTATCGATAACGAGATGTTTAGGGGTGTTATTGAAGAACCGTGAATATTATTCGAAGTCTCAAGCGGAATTACGCGAGCTCGGCAAACGAGAAATTTATGTCTTTTTTTTTATATTATCTCAGTAGAAGTTAGTAGAATGGCGCACTGGTGTTTTGAAATGGTGCAGATATACATAGTTTATGGCGGTGGGGCTAAAAATATTATGTCCACAGACTTTTGCTGTCCATTGTGGATCAGGCTGAGATAACCTTCAAATAATGTAACTGAGCCGTATATCCAGATTTGTTTCGTAAATATGTACTCTCATTTCAGTGCCGCGAGCATGGCCGACTATAAATCTGTAACAGTACTTTGTAATCGAGGTTTGAACAAATTGTGAACCACAATTGACCACTTGGGACTGGAAGCTTGGAATATTTTCTTATTGTAAGTGGACACTATTATAGTTTTATCGTGTCTGCTTACTGTTGATTATCAACTTGCTGAGCCCTTTGCCACTCCTTTCGCTCCTGTAACCTACGGCTCAGATACTCGGTAAGACAATTGCCATTACGTATCTCCGTCGTGTGCGAAACATATGAGATGAGCAGGTGACGGTATCTTAGATTTTGAGTGCGAATAGGATTGATTTGGGACTTAATTTTAGGCCACCCATGTTTCATTTTTGCACTGACTCAAAACCGTTCATAATTTGCAATTCTAACTTCCTGGTTTCGTTGAGAGAATTTCTGACATGAGCCCTGTTTATGGATGCTAAATTGGTCAACGGAATTTTTTCTTTCTGAGTCACTCGGAAGGTTTCATCGTTCTGGTACATGCAGTAGGGCGGCGAGGTGTTAGCTCAGCTCCCTGGGACTCGAGGTATGTACCGATTGGCAAGTATTCTTTCCTCTTGTCGACAAGGAATCTTTTCATCTGAACGCCAAATCGTCGGGTTTTCTGGGGCGCTTCATGTTTCCATCTAATGGCACAGACCCACGGGCCTCTAGGATAATCGTCAATGAAGGTGATCATGTGCCTGCAGTTGCGCCTGCACCAGTGGTCGGTACGGAGTGCCGGTCTGCCAGAGGACTACTCTCAAGTCGCGCGGGTTCAGATGTCCCATTCCACCGTGACACAACGCTTCGGAGGTCTGTTCCCCTCGGCCTCCTCCTTTACACGCATCTTCTTCGAGTATCACGACTTCACCACCGAGTTCAGAGGTTGGCGCTGCGCAATTTGCGTCACTTGACTCCCGAGGGTTGTCGACGTCCATGCCAGTTAGACTGGCTTCGAGACCTCTTGCTCACATGGCACCGTAGGATCAACAGATCTTCCTCCGCATGGTAGGCGGTCCCGACCATCCGTCCTCGGCGTTGCACGAAAATCTTCTGCGGGTGCGACACCCTTGAATAGCGGTCCCAAAGCACCTTTGGCACGCTGATCAGGTGAATCCCGGTGCGTGGTGCGAAATACACATTCTTGAACGCCAGGGGCAGGTCAACTTCCCCCGGAGTGTGAGCTTCACCACATCAATCCATTCGGCTTCCACTGGGTCGCTAGCCATTTCCAGTACCTCACTGTGAGATCGCAGACTGCTGAAGCAGCTTCGACCCCAGTAGATGTGGCTGGTGGAGCCTGAGTCCAGGATACACCGGGGAGACGGTGCGTGGGTATGAAGGGTCGTCACCGCGAACCCTTACGATATGAATCCACGGCCTCTTGGGGATTGGCGGGTCCTGCCATTCGTCCAGGTGGACCTGGCTTGATGGTATCCCTTGTAAAAATTTTCTTGGTGAGCCGGAAACACTCCGTTCAGTCTTCAGGGAATGGTCCCTGGGCGGTTGTTGCTCGCATCTTGCCTCGTTTTGAGGTAGGTCATGACTCATGAGAGGTTTTCAGGTTGCGAAGCTATCGTTACCTGTCAGTGTTGTAATTTAAAGTAAGATGAATTATCATTATTTCAGAGAGAACACATGAAGCTATATATACAACAAGAAGATCTTTGATGCTTCATATAGATAGTCCGGGAATAAAAGGTGGCTTGATTCCTGATTTGTACCAGCCTTCATATTACCTCACTCATCAGCAATAAGCTTTTTGTAGCTCCAACGAGAGAATCTACGGACAAGCCGGTAAAATATCGTCGAAAGCGACGATTAAACTTGCTTTGTATATGAGACTAAAGGCTTGGAAATACGGTATTCGGGCGCGATTTTCGCACAAAATCTATCACACTAAGATGCAGATATAATAGATCCTCTTCAAAAGAAAGCTCTGCGTTTGACCGTTGACTTGCACACTAATTTTGGTTCCAAAACGACGAACCATGGTTCAGATATCGCGTATTTAATAATAGTGGGTGGGTTGTTGTGGGTTTATACCGCGTCGCGGGCGGTGAACGTATTAGAATATTTACTGGCCCCCGTAAATATTTACCAAGAGCCGCCAGGCCAATCAGCATGCCTGTCGTTATCATGGCCTTTTGCAACTCCTTAATACACGCTAGGGTTTTCTCGACATCGACAGCAATCCCACTTAATCGACTATTCCGTCCAAGTGTTCCAGCCATGGTCTGGAAGAGTTCTTTCAGAGCCAAGGCCATACAATTGTAGGATAAAGAAAGATACAAAAGGTAAACAATAAAGAGGACGAGAAAGAAAAAGAAGACAGTAAAGATGATGGGAATGAATGATAAAAAAAGTCGACGTCAGGCCGACTCCTATCATTGTTCTGTGCCTCAGGATTCGCCACGGAGACCTCCGACAAGCTTATCTTGTCCAGCTTGGCACATCACTGGCCGACTGCCTTGCAAAAGATATGGTACTGGAAGTTAACCATGGACATGTGCGCCCCACAGCCCTCCTTTTCGTCTTGCAGCTGATATGGAGCTCTGCATATAATCAACAGCCAGGACTTCAATCATGGTCTGGTGTCTTTGATGATGCCTGCTGTTTTGCTACATGCTCCTAAGCCACCTATTTGCATTATGTCAACCGTGAATAGACTGTCTTCGGCGTATGACGCCGGGCCCAGGCTCCTCAGAGATGTCTGGGGTGTCACGGCCACCGCGATTGTTATTGTGGCTTTAAGGGTCATTGCAAAATTGAGAATTCGAAAATTTGGGCCGGATGATATACTTATGGGGTTCGCACTGGTTAGCAAATTTTTTTCCTTTTTATCTTTTTATCAGCTTGAAATTCACATTGTGAAGCTGATTGAACATGGCCCATTTTCGTTCTCGCCATTCTTTTCCTTTTCGTTCCCAATTGACATGTACTTGCTCAAAGTGTTTAGCCACGGTCGGATCGGTCATGATGACAATAGGCGTCAAATTTGGATTCGGCCAAAGGGTAGATGAGCTTAGTACCAACAATGTATCAAAGGTCATCCTGTTTGACTACCTTACCCAGACGTTTGGACTTGCAGGTGGGGCCTTAGGACGCTCCTCTTTCATTGTCTTCATCATTGGGCTTCTCGTGTCCAGAAAATGGCACAGCGTGGTCTTCTGGGTATTGGTCGGTCTTCAGCTAATAGTCAACTCCATGTTTATTATCATCTTGTTTGTTCAGTGTCCAGGACATGCATCAGCTATCTGGGATTCTGATAAAGCAAAGTGCTGGAATACGCATGTGCAGGCCTACTATGGATATTTCCAAGGAGGTAAGGGATACTCCACTGTTCGGACAACGAACTCTTCTGAATGGTAAAATAGCATTCAACGCAACGACTGACTTGTACCTTGCTGCCTTCTCAACTGCCACATTTTGGAGGTTGAACCTGAATTTAAGGGTCAAACTGGGACTGGTCGCATTACTGGGACTGGGAATTTTGTGAGTCGCATTCAAAATTGCATGTGGTGCACGATCTGAACTTTGCTAAATAAGCTATTCACTAGCGCAATGGTCGCCGCTATCATCAAAATAGTACAGACTCGTGTCCTCGCATCTTCCGATATGGACCCGACGATTGCCACAATAAACTACGACCGATGGCTATATATCGAGACGTACTTGGTGATAATAACAGCCTCGATACCGTGCCTTCGATCTATCCTGCGTTCGGTGAAGGGTCAAACACCAGCAGACAGAAATACATACGGGCTTGGCCCGCGTTATGTGGTTGGCTCAATTACACAAATGGACGACACAAAAAATCCTGGCTCTGCTCTTGAAAGAAATAGAACAATACCTGTCTCTCAAGGCAATGTGAGCAGTGAAGATCTCTGCGACGGTAATGGCCGTGATGATATGAGGAACTCAGGGCGTTCCAGGGAATCTGTCATAATTTTTGTTTAGAAATGGAACCTATTAATGCTATTTGTAGACAAAATAAGGGATCTGATCCTTAGAAACTCATGGGCATGAATCTTTTCGGGGAACTCAAATATTGCCTTAAGTGACTGATTTGTCCAGCATTTATGACTTAGCAACTGGCCTCTGTCAATTCCGAGAGATTCAGTATGCAACAGTACCAGAATAAGCCGACGAGGCCATTACAAAATACTTGAGATGGGTCTCATTTTTGTCCATTGCCGATGGATCGGCCGGCTAATGAAAGTCCCTCCCCGGTCTTGACAGAACTCTGAGTGGGGCTCTGGCTTTTGTGCATGATTGATTTGTGCGGGGAATGAGTCAACAAATAAAGTTTCCGAATAGCACTCCGTGCAGCAGCTTTTGTCCAACAATGCTACAGATCAGATTGCTGGAATTTGAAGAATTTCTCGTGCATAGGAGTCGCGGAAAGGATAAAGACACCACGAGATAGATTTGCTCCCAGCGCACAAGTGAGACTATATTGCGAGCTACACAGAAAGCTGTCTGAGGCCTGGCCAAGTGCTTTGGAGGTCTTCTTACACTGGCTCTTACCTAAGCGAATCCTGTCTTTGAAAAAAAGCTCTAGCCTCACGGGGTAGGAGGTCATGAGACGTTTCCAGGTTGCAAAGTTATCGCTTCTTGTCAGAGGCTCGATGGCCGTGACGGCTCGGTCTGGAGAGTCATGGACCAGAGCCGACATGATAAGTTGATGAGTTGAAAGCGGGGTAGATACATATATAATCAAGATGGATAGATAAGATGTTTCTCAAATGAGTAGAGACGGCACCCGAGAGATTGCTTGCGGGCTCATAACCTGTTGTAGGTCAAAGGAAGATTGATTGTTCTTTCAGAGGGAATACATGAAGCTATATATACAACGAGAAGATCTTCCAATCAACTTGATGCTACATATAGATATCTCGGGAATTAATTCCGATGGTGCGGATCAGTTCCTGATCTGCATCAGCCTCATTATCACAACAAATTGTAATCTTCTGCAACTGTCCTTTCATGAGCCCCAGGGGTGAGTGTCAGGGATAAACATGAAGCATGCAAGACGGATGGAGAGGTTTGTCGGACTGGAGCGAACGCGTATGAACTAATACGATTGGGTTCAATTATGAGAGAGTTGTGCTATCTAGGTGCTGGATCGAGTTGAGCGATCCTGCTAGTTCGCGGAGGCTAGTTGTAACTATAGCTCGTACGGACGATTACGTCTACTTTACGTACAAAAACAGTATTATAGGATCTGAGCATACGCTGAATCATCAATCCGAGATAGGAAAGTTGGTAATCTTCTCCTGCGGAGTTTGTCAATATTATCTGCGGGTCCCACATGGTATTTATTACCTGATGCGGAGGACCCGGTGAGGTCTTTTTGACTTAAAGAGTTCCCAGCGGGCCGGGCCGCCCTGCTCGGTCCAATGACTGTGGATCACTCCGGAGCCTGGCAAATAAGATGCCAAGCCTGCGGTTCTGGAGGGCGTCGATATATTATCGTGCGCTTGGATTCGTGCTTTTGAGAAGTATTTCAAGAGAGACTGGAACAAGTAGATTTTCTTTCAAATTTGAGGAGCGCATCCAGAAAATGAACACGCTCGTTTCTTTTTCTTACGGCGGACTTTGTCGAAGAGACTTTCGTACTTCTTTAACTCTTGCTTTGCTTGCGTCGAGAGAGGTGGCGTGCCAACCTGGGTAGTCCACGTAGGCTCGGTCGGTCTAGGACAGTCCATTTCGATAGGCCCCACCAAAACGTCTATTCCAGAAGTTGTCGATGGAAGTTTCTCTGTTGTGCTAATTTCCAAGTCGTCTTTCTCGATTGGCAAAGCCTCATAAGGACTTAATCCACTATGGACAAAGCTGTTAGAGACTTTGATCTAAAATCATCGAGATTCAGGATGCGTAAAACTTACTCCGCAATAGAGACTGAAATGCATCCCATTTCTTTTCGTACGTCAAACGGGGAACCCTAAGTGTACACATCATCAATACATGGCTCTTTATATTAGCCTTGGTCTCATGTCAAACAACACTTACAATTTGCAGGGCGTTTTTCTTCTTTCGATGAACGAGGCAAGCGAGGTTTTGCCACATACTCTGCCAACACTCCATTGTCAGGCAGATGGTAGTGAATAATAAGGCACTAAGTAGTCCTTGGATGATGCCGCCAATATAGTAATGATAATGGTGTAACACAAAATCCGGTATTGGCTCCTGCGTTCGAGAAAAACTCGAATGGAGGACAGTGGATATACGCGCTTGGATTATGTATTTCTAACCGTCCTCCAACGACAAACAAGTAAACAAACAAATAAATAGTTAACTAGCGAAATACTTGGATTATGTAACGATTTGCTAACTATTTGATCAACAGAAGTAAGGGAGACTAAGTGGAACATTCGATACATTCTTTATGCATCCCTGGTAAGACATGTAGCGATAAGAAGAATGGAAAAAGGCAAGGGAATCATGCTCCCTGAAGGATTTGAATCTAAAGTCTGGGTCATAAATAGCATTCTTTTTTTGGGGGGGGGGTTCGATCTACATATTTGACACGGCTGAGAGTTTCTTATCCGTAAAGAATTTGTTCATTTTTATCCTCCTGGTCTAGGTGGAAAGCCACCCCTTGGGGGAACGCGATGGTTGAGGTATGTTGCACCTTCATTGAGAGGACTAGGTTTAATGTCCAGCGAGTTTTTTTGCCATTGTTAAGCACCCTGTTGGAACCTCAATTCTCTACTCAATTCTGTTACCTCTCAAAATATAATCTGCTTCCCCAGTCATCGTAATAACTCCCTACAGTCCAGACTCCAGAGCAATGCAAGACCGAATACAATCCCTTCCCTTCCGCCTCTTCCTTCGATGTCAACACTGCTCAAATTTAGCACTTATCAAGTTTCTGCAGAGGTCACAATTTACCTTCCTCGAATCCTCAAAGCACCACAGACACAGAGAGGCCCAATGGTCGTTCCAAACGAAATGTCGGCAATGCGAGGTCAATACCGTTCCAAACGGCCAACCCGCACACGAGCTGAATGGGAATTTTATATCCATCGACCAAGTTACGCGGGAGTTATCGAGGGATTACGCACTCGTCGCTCTGCATGAGGATCTGATGTACTTTTTTTAGTACAATGAACTCATCTTCTCGGGGGGCAAAAATGGTAGACAGGACCGGGAATGGGAAAAGCTGATTTTCACCACCCTGGGTGGATTTCGCAGACGTGTGCCGATGCGGGAGTCAAACTAGTTTGTTTGACCAGATGATCCCGACCGAGAATTTGGGTCCTTTCTCGAACGGTGTATCAATCAGGTTGGCAAGAGAAGAGAGTGCCAGAGGCCACTTTCGGCACGCAGGCCTGATCCTTGATGGTTTAGGCAATAGGGCTCATTTCGTACAAGACAGAGACGATAGTTCATTCGGCGAAGGAGAGAGATGACCTTGAATTTCGCCACGATCAACAGCTATCACGACTTCGTTTGCTTGCACACGCTCAAGAATCATCTCGGCAACGACTGATCGAAGTGTTTGATCTCTGATATCAATGTCCTACATGCAAGCTCGCCGAGAAGATGTGACGTAGGCACGGCAAGACCTATTGGGCTCTCCACAATCCAGATCTCAACGAATACCAAGGAAAAGCGAAAGCCATTTGTTGGTGGTCGTCCTGATGATATATCAGGAATTTTGCTGCGGTACTTGTGGCCCTTTAGTTGAGACCAGTGGCAGTCTAGCTCTGAAGTTGTTATTTAGCTTTCAATAGCTTAAAAAAAAAACTTTTGTAAAGCCAAAGAGCTTCAAGCTATGGTCTGCATTCAGGTTGTATGCACAAAATAGGGTTCAAGTAAAAAAGAAAGGCACTCAGCATGGGCCCCAGACTCACCGAACAAAGGTGGGGTATAGCGAGATTCAACGGGGCGTATTGAAACAACTGAAAACTTCTATTGATCGTGATTGCCTGTAGCGTTCTTTCCACAAGCCCCAGGAGCCAAATGACGATAGAGCTCTAAAGAATCGTTGAACCGTCTCTGGGACTAAGGGGAATGCTTCTGGGCACAGGGTTTCTTGGCCCCGGGTGCCGTCCTACCCCTTGGCGTATCTATACGGCGTCTATAGACCTTGTGCGCTGCAAGGACACTGGCCTTCTATTGGTGGATTTTACTTCTGCTGGAATGTCTCTATAGTTCGTTCATCATTTGGACCTTGACGTGGAAGACAAAAGCTTTTAAACTGCATGGTCCGCTGAAGAGGCTGGGTTAGGATGGTCCATATCTGCCTCGAATGGAATAGGGAAAGCTGTTGCAGGGATAGACTGAAGTACTTAAACACGAGGGAATCATGAACTAGGTCACATGTGGTTCAGTGCAACAGACTTGTCTGCGTGCTCAGTTGATGAAGCTCCGCTTCAGATTGGCTAGATTATTTATAACAACGATTTTCTCTGGGAATTCCATCGAGATTGAGATATAGAATCATGTTACTAATTCATTGACTAGGTCTTGTGTTGCTATGGCTCCGGACATCGAATCAATTCCACCATTTGAGAGATTTTAGCGATCAGTACAGTACGATCAATGCGCCCCGCCGAGGGCCCCGATAGATATCTATCAATTTAAACAGGCCTTCACCTGGTTGGACTAACAAGCTCCTACCGCGCAAGTTACGCTGATTGCGGTGAGACCCTCTCAACAGTCATTAGTATTTAGTACATCGGAAGAGATATTGATTCATCCGGAGGGACGGAACCAGGGGGGTTCTGGCACACAGTAAGAAAGTACAGTCGTTCAGACGAGCATGTCACCGGCCAATGAGTCGTCTGACAAACGGCATAAATGGCAACCCATTCTCCTCCATATCTTGATCCACTGTAAATGTACTTGTTGGTGCGCGTTGGCTGGCTGTGGTGTCAACAAGTCGGACTGGGGCGATATGTGGCATATTATCACCATCATCGTATGCGGAAGCTATGATCTCATCATCACTTGAACACTTTGAAGCTGCTCGCCACAGCTGAGATTGTTGCTAGGCTGCTCAAGAAGAATCCGCCATCGTGTCGATGGAGCGCCGCGGCCGAGGGCTTGCCTGATCAACTGAGAAGCCAGTCTGTGGAAGAACTACTGCAGGTGAGTGAATTGTCCCGGTCGCGCGACGCGTCAGACCCGTCCACTATGCTCGGCGCCGGCTGACCAGTCAGGGCGACTTTTTGAGACAGCACCAGGAGAAAGGGGAAGTAAAAATGCTAGTGACCGCGGTCAACAAGACTGCTTTTCATAGAATCGAGTCTTTCTCTGCCCGTTCGTAAAGAAAGAATCTGGTAGTCCAATATGACACCAGTTGTGGAGTTCGTGCCGCCTTTCTCAATAGGTTAGCGGGAATCCTCACTCACTCACTCAACATGATCGTTCTGGCTCGAAAGAGATGTCTGGGCGTGGCTTCAATTTATCTCAGGATTTGGGATCTAATGAAAGGTTTGATCGCGAGTCTCTATTGCTAGTGGAAGTCGAGTTGAAGTATTCTGTATATAAAATGGTGACATTTGTAGTAATCCGAGAAATATATCTCTGACTGCAATTGGGTTTGCCACGGCATTCTCAGTAAAGATGCCAAAAATAAGGATCTTCATTAAGCCCGTTAATTACGATATTCAATTTATTCGCTAAGCCTAGTAGATGCATCTTAGAAATCTGAACATATGCATGACAAGCAATTAAGAGGACATACATGTATATACATATCACATATTCACATTGTGAAGTGATTTTGTTCATGACAATTGCCAGCTGGTCCCGACCCACAAGCTCCACACTCTCATTGGACGCGGCTTCTAAAGCCGCAAAGCCGCCGCCGCCTAACAAGCTAACAAAGCAAACAACACAAACAAACAAGCAAACAAACAGCCTCGCCATCGCTGACCAACGGGTTGTTGAGCAGGCGCGCAAACGTCCGACTCAGACAAGCTACCCCCAGCGCGATGTAATTTCTGGTCGCGTAAAAGTCAAGGCTAATGGCTCGTGAACCCGTCTTGCTTTATGATGACTCTGCGGCCTCTGTTGCTCCCGACATAAGATCTCCTGGCTCGGTAATTTCTTCAGATGTGACGCCCGCATCCTGTCGATCATGTGCCTGTAATAGCTCTATAGTTATGGCAATGCACTTCCTCGTTCGGGCTAAATCACTCTCCAACTGCACTGCCCGGGACACGGCAGTAGTGATTTCATTTTGAAGCTCGTCGATTCTGTCTTGTAAGCTGCTGTTCTTGCCAGAACACTCCTCTAGATCGGCGCGAGTGCGGTCCAGGTCGAGACGAAGGTCGCGCTTAGCACTTTCCAGATCATGGATTTTTGCCGTAAAAGAACCGCTGTCTCTAGAGCCCTTGGGTGTCTGCTGGCCCTGCAAGCCCCTTTAGAACCATATCAATCGACGAGGGATGGATCAGCACCCACCGGTGAGAGATCACCCAGATCCGTCTGAACTTCCTGCGGCGGCAAGACGGCTTCGAGCGAGCGCCCTATTTTCTTACAGATTGTCTGATAAAAGCCCACATTGCCGATGCCCAGACTTGTATCGAACAAGTAAGCTTTCTCCGGCGTCACGGACCAGGCGTATCCGTCTTTGGGCTGTGGCTTCAGGCGAATCTCACCGGGGGCGACGACAAGGCCCAATTGCTAATTTGGAAACGTTAGGTCCGAAATTGTATTGGATAGAATCGAATCAACGAACCGATGTGGGCTGCAAGGGCCTCCCGGCATTGTTTTCGCAACAGGGCGCGTTTGTCATTACTTATTTGAGGCATGATTGCGTCGTGCACGAACTTTGCAAGTAGGTTTGAGCTGGAAGGCCATTCTTTATGAAAGACGTGTTGCTCTACCTTCAGAAACTGTAGCGGAATATCTCAACTATTCTCTAGGTTAGAGGGCCCGTTGAACAACCGCATGTCTGCCAGGTGGATCCAAACCCACATGAAGTGGGACTGGGTGGCACACCGACTTTTATTGGCTTTTTGGTCTTGGTGAACGCTTTTGACCACCGTTCAAGTATCTGCTACATGTGTAAAGTGACTCGCAAAGTATTGTTCTCTGACTGATGGTGAATCGACAGTCAAGTAAACGAAGAGCAGGGTCTGCCGACAGTACCTCTAGAATCGCCGGACTTCCCGAACAAATTCAGTTTCGAGCAGGAAAATATTGTCGCATTCAATGGCAACTGCCGCTGTTACATGATGTTTCACAGTTGCCATTCAGAGGAAGACTCTTCTTCAACAATACCCTCATGTATCGCTAGCGAGAATAATTGATAGCGAATGATTGCAGCCTTCATTATGATCGCGGTATAAATACTTCTGTTTGCATACGGGAATTGATCCATGACTCTAAGTTTCTCAAATCCATGAAATGGCTCATCCTTACCGCAGATCAGGCTACCGAAGTGCGCAAGCTGCGTCTGATACGATACCGTTACTAGCTGACGTCTCCAAGCCCTGCCGGTCTCGTAAGAGAAAACCTACAAACCGCCCCCCTACGAACGAGCAGCCGGGCGAATATCAGAAGCCTATCCTGCAACTCCATTTCGGCCAAGAGTATTACTCTCTCAAAGGCCAAACACCATTGCGTACGAAGGAAGGCATCGGGAAATCTCAACGAGCGGGGGTCACACTCGAACAAGAAAATGTGCGAAAGGACTGGATGCGGCGGCTACGTCCCATGGCGCACCGACGGTGATGCTGGGAGCTAGGGCAATGGTGATTCAACTAGGGATCAGCACCAGCACAACAGCATTAAGATAGAGGTCTTTCTCGATGGACTGAGAGATAATGTTGGATAACTTCTTTATTGTGTGTCAAGATCAGATTGTCCGACGTAGATTTCCAACGACACTCGTAGGAGTCCAACTCGATCACAGTAAGGTAAAATGTAGCATTTGGACTTCCAATGTTTCAGCATGAGAGCAAAGATTTCGTTCAAACATAGGCTCTTTCAATACTGATGTAAGCTCAGATTCATGATTGAGGGCCTTTGTAGTAGCATCTTTGAACACTGCGATGTAAAAGATAGAATGCAAAAAAAACTGGTTGTGATTTTGCGGTGGGCTTTCATCGTTTGCTGTAGTACTAAGTACTGACCAACCTAGAAGAACGGCAGGGAACAAATTAATCACTCGGCTAGGGCCTTCTAGACCGTCCAAGAACCACTGTCGACCGTAACTCTCTTTTCTAAGCGGTCTTCCTCGAAGCAACAGATGGAGGACCGAATGAAATTGAGGCGTCTCTGACTGTAGACCTCTATGGCTTAATATATTTTATAACCCAATTTTTGCCAACAGTTTGGAGCGGGTTAGTTCTACGTATAGCGAGTAAGAGATTAGCCATTTCTTGGAGCATAGAAGGACGTAGTACTGCTCTATGTATATCATAGAGATGACCCATTCTTTAAGCGAATCCTTCTCAATTTCAGTTAATTTGAATGATTTTGCGCGTAATTCGACACGATTTTCACGTCCGTTGAGCCGGTCTTGGAGCGTCGATCTTGGCACATTGTATATGAGCGCTGCCTCGCGGAAGGACAATTTTTGCTGCTTTTTGATAGCTTGCATTGCAACCAGGATACGACCCTCTTGTTCAACCAATTTTTTGACGATTTTGAGAGCGAATTGGTGGCATGGTGGTTAGTTGAAGTAATATGGTCTAACTAATTGACGCGTTTTGGTTGGGGTGGCCGGGCTGACCGGGATGGCCGGCTCGGTGGTGAATTACGTTATGTGAATGTGGTAGGAGAAGAATTCATGATGACACAATGCACTCAGCCTCATAGGGGTCAAGTAATTGATACGAAGGTAGCTGGGGGCAGGAATCGTTGGGTGCAGGAATCGACATATACAAAGAGTTGTGAGGGTCCGTCGATGTGGTGGAGCCAGCCGTCTTTGATTATCCACATGGAACAGATAGGTCGTTTTATATTTCTTCACTGCATGCTGTCTTCCCTTAGCCGAATACGTTCATTCGGTTCATCATATCGGCGTCGCATACGAGCATCACGACGGACCCAAACACAAGGACTTTGGTCGGTAATAATGCAGTCCATAGACATGCATTGAGCTATTTCAGAGAAAGAAATGGGACGAAAAACGTTGTATAGCTCTGACTTGACTCTCAAGCGGAAGTGAAGCGAGGAAGGGACGCTTGGGTTTCTGTAATGTATTGAGGCTTTGGCAGGTGTGATTGACTCTGTAACATCTCGTTCCGAATTCCGAATTCGCTCATATAAGTCCAAAGTTAAGATATAGCAGCCCTCGAAGGCTATTGATAAGTCGGAGAGGACGAAGTACCCAGATTGTACTGGGCGGTTGAGATACGCAATTTCGGCTACATGCACACTGGCTAACGATGGGGGCGATGATAGATCAGACAAACATCTGTCGGCGATTTGGAGAGTTGGTTGAGCCCTCTCGAGGGTAGCATAAAGCAAAAATGTCCCGCGGTGGGTGGGAGTGATGTCTGTGTATATCTGATTGCCGCAATCGAGTTCGAAAATATTCAACTTAACCACGAGCGGCGTGTTAAGTGACGCTAATATCTGTCAGCATTCGAAAGTCAATTAACGATTGGAATTGGCAATATACACCAGCGCTTCCCTCCAATATCGCATGCTTTAGCATTAATAGGCTGTTGCACGATCTGCATTTGATAGGTGATTATTCTCTTCGTCGGGGCAATGACCCAGGGGGCTGATACGCTGGAAGTACCGCATCCATCGGCATATTCCTCGATGATCTTATTATCATCGGATGTTGCCCGAGGCAAAGGTGCGGGTAAGGTGTCTGCCATGTTGACACAACAAAAGATAACATCGATCAAGAGCCCCCCAACGCACAGCGTGCTTCTCAAATCACTTTGAAACTTCACAATATAGCGAAAGAGCCCACTGGGAGATAACATATTTTAAGGGGGTGAAGCAAAGAGGGGGAAAATGGGTATCGTGACAGCTGGCAGGAGGTGACACCGCCCTTCACTTACTCTAAGGCAGGTCGACAAGTATTTGGAATTGCAATCGCACATCGCAGGGATAAGCATGGAAAGCGGGGGCCGCCAGCTCCTTAGAGCAAAAATCTGCACTAGGCCAATTTGGGGCGAATTCCTGCTCGGAACCCCCGAGCCGTGAGCCCACTTGTTGCCTGGCTCTCCACACTACTCAATCGCCGCTGTGTTTTGTTTTCGACTTCCAAGATACCCACTCCCCTTGTCCACCGAAAACCGTACATCTCTGGAATCGACTCCAACGCCAACCACAGTGGCATATTTCGTTATGGAACCTGGGACATTCCCCTCGCACCTCAATAAGTAGACATCACATGCAACCATCAGAGAGCGGGATCTACATTTACTCGCTTTTGGATTGGCTTGAACGGTAGCGCAGGTCAAAATACGATCTATCTTTCATCATCGAGTTTGAAATTGAATCTATTGCGGGCATAAATGCCGCGAAGCATAGAGACCTCTGCGCATTGAAAAGATAAAACACGTCCCGCTAGCATTTTGAAGCAAAGAGCCCGCTAACATCCCAGCCCCCCTCTCCGCCATGCTCCCCAAAAGAAACAATGCCCAAGTCCCTTTATCAACGAATCTCAGCCTTGAAATATGGAAGTAAAAAGATTCAGATTCTCATTATCGCTTCTGCCGTTCCTGGTCTGTCGGCCGAATAATGTGGGTAGTGACACCCCTTGGCTGCGTTGTTTATCTAACAGGATTTAGATCTTGAAAGAGGAACCTCTAATGACGAGATCTCTGTCTTGTTTACGAATATTTCATGCGAGAGCATGGGGAGAAGCGCATCGATAGTGGCCGGCGGATCTTGCCCGTCACCTTGGGGGGCACCCTCGGCAATTGGAAATTGCCTCGCCGACCCCCGTAAAGGGGGTCTCTGGGGTACCCCGCACCCCGGCTTGAGGGCGCTTTGGAACGGAATCAGAACATGCGCCTGTGTGCCTATCAGGTAAGCTAAGGCCTATTTGTAGATCAAAGTGAAACTCACACGACTTACAAATGTGTTTTGCAAAAACTTGAATGGCTAGGGACCCGCATCCTCGCGGCGTTTGGGACCAGAACGAGATCAATACCCTTTGGGGCCCTGGTCGGCGTCATATCTTGGCATTGGAGCTGCATAGCCGGCAAGTAGCGCGTAGTGGGTTGGTCAACTCGGATCTTTTCGTATTGTTTTACTTGAAATTGATATACATACTCATGAGGGCAATCATTGCGACTATTGATGAGGTTGATCGACTTCGTTCATATCGTGCATGCGTAGTCTCAGCAAGATCAGTAAGGTATATCTACATCTCCCCTTGGTTCCTCAGTAGTAGCTCAGTAGTAGCCCATGCAATCATAGAGCGACACCCAAATAATTATTATAGGATTTGAGGATAGATGAAAAGCTATAGCACAGTACAGCGAACTTTCCTACGAAAGATAAACGGCATATTCGAGAGAGTTGGACGTGATTCGAGCAGGGGATTGAACTGCGGTTCAACCGGGGTTCAAACCGGGGGAAAATTGTGGTTGGGCAATGTCCATCCTCTCCTCACCGCCTCCTCACCGCTCGTTGACTAAACCGCGGTCAGTCAACACCACTGGTCCCCACCAATCATCTCAACGCCGGTCAAGACCTATGGCCATTCATCATGAATTCTGGATGCTGCCGTTGAATCACCGTTAACACAGGATCACCACATGGCTGGCCGTTAGCGTTCGCCACTGTCAGTCACCACGGTCAGTCACCGCAGACACCTACCGAAAAGTGTTAACGGGATCCTCATGCGTTGAATCACCGTTAACACCTCCATCATCTACACAGAATGATGTTGACCAGTGTCAGTGCCGGTGTGGTCTACACCTACCCCTCTTTGCATCGAAATTCCCTCCAACTTCACCGCGTTGAATCATCAACATCCTGTCAATCAACACAGAACTCCAGTCTATCGAGAAACATATCACCGCCAGCTTGCATCAACATGCCCGTCAAGCCCAACGATGTTGAATTGCTAGTAATACCGTGAAGAGCTTGAAAAACACCACCAACGTATCTCGTCTCGGTGATGTACCGCATCGATTCACGACTCATGCAAACCCCACACCTTTGCCACTACGATAGGCTACTATAGACAACTACATAACATGCGAATATGCTCTTCTAGCTAGAGGGCTCCACATTGATGCTGTTAAGCAAGAGCGGAATCGAAGTGGAATTGCATGAGCTAGCACCAAATCTACTCTCTATTCTCTACAGGATCATGTGCAGGCCTTGGCTTCCCCGTCACCGATGACGAGTACTGATCATTAGCACCACGGAGAGGTGCCTGCACGGGCTAGAGAGGCGGCCCAAATACTGGTGGCCAGCCAGAATTTGCCCAACGGAGCACATATTGATAACGCAGGGCTCATCACTGCATGGAAGCGCAAAATTGTACGCTCGCTGGGCTCAAGGCAGGAGGGGTGAGCTTGTTTACGCAGCACTCCCCTGCGGGATGACTTGTTCTCTAGAGCTCCCTCCTCCGAGGACCTTTGGTAACGCAGGCCCTAGGCTGCGGAGAACTTATTGGCGCAGCGGTCTCCTGCGGAGAACTTGGTAATGCAGCGGTCTCCTGCAGAGAACTTGTTGACGCAGCGGTCTCCTGCGGGTCTCAATTGTCATCACAGCGTCCCCCTGCGAAGCACTGTTCTTATGTCACTGGGCTTGGATCAGCAACAGCCGTCGTCACGGAAACCTCAGGCCCGAAGGTCAGAGGCGACACACCGCGGCCGCGATGTGTGAAGAAAGACAAATGGATCGGGGGTGGAGCCTGCTTTTATGGACTTCAGCTACGCTTTCTCGCAGATACCAGCAGTGCAAATTTCTCACCGGGGACGGTTCTGGCGGTCGATGCAATGTCTTCACCGGCCTTGAACCATGAGCTGGACGATGCTGGCGAATGGATCGCCAATCATGTCGCGGCAGATAGCACCGGGACCGTTCATTCTATCTGGGTGTGTAGTATTCCTGACTCTCAGAAAATGCTGGTCGAATCACAAAATTGGCGCAGTTGCAATCGGAGGGCAAAGAGCTGGCTCGCCCATGGTTCACAGTCGTGGTACGGTGACCTCAGAGAAGTGAGTCAGAATGAAGGTCCTCAGCATTATGCCGCGCGTGCGAAAGTGCCATGGTGGAGGAGTGTGGTCAGGCCATTGGTCTACTTTGAAGGGGCCCGTCGAATTGCGTGCGGCTTCCATGTCACCTCCGCTTGACTATGCCCAAGCTCTGGCGGCTTATTGTGAAGTTCAAGAGGTACACGGCTTGACAGGTTTTGTCTTTGCTGCACATTGAGAGAAGGTATGCCTAAATGATTGCTATTCAAGGGTATTCATCCATACATCCATTACTGAATTCGTGAAGAGTCCTACCTCTCCAGGTCTTCTAATTAAGGGCTGATATTATGTGACCAATATTGAAAGAGAAGCCGGAGAGCTCTGAGTTCTTGGTGATTGTCAATATACTCCGGTTGTGGCATTAGTTTTACAAACTTCATGGCATATCAATTCAGTGAGTAATTGCCTCCAATCCTCATATTTTTGAGGGACGCACTTTGGTGTCTTGTAGAGTAGTGTATGCCCGGTACATGTACCCGCTACTTGAGGAGCGGTCCTTTTTGCTGGAACGGCCGAAATGTAATGGAAAGCGATTCCTTGGACGCCGTAGAGATTTTTCGGGGGTCGCAAAAAATTGAGCAATCTCTCATTCACCATCATTTTCTGAGGGCTTCCAGCTTCCTCGCTGATCATTCACTGTCGTTCACTCAACGTTGAGGCACCAGAGTGGATATGGTGACCCCACCTCGACCCACGGGCCGCACCGGTGTGGATCCAAGGTACCCGGTGTTGGCTCAACTTGACGACCATGCACTGTTATGGTCTTGCCAATTTGGGCTGCCCAAGGTTCGCACTCTGCTTGAGGGGGGATGGCAACTTCTACATTTCCTCCTGGGCGTGTATCCTGTGTTGTGTTCACACCTCGTCCGCTCATACAAAGGTGGTAGAAGCGGGGCGAGCAAATGCATTTTGTTTGCAGGTATTTATTTTTCCGCTAGTTAATGGGTCAGAGAAAGCCAGGACAGTAGTCAAGTCAGTAATCAAAAGGAGGCCTTTTCAGCGCTCGCCTCAACTTTCACTTTTCAACAGGCATCTGCCATTCCAAATATTGTTGATCAAGCTCCTGTTTGCTCATCCCCGTTGAGTCAACTGATTCGCGAGTTAATAAAGTTTACGACCTCGTTTTCTACATCCCCAATCAGCCTTACCCGGACTAGAACTCTACCTCAACGTTTCCTCAGAACAACTGTTTGTCATTCCGCATATTCTTGGGGCGCCTCATGTTTGCTCATCACTGTTGATTCAACTGAATCAGCTGGTGAATAAACTCCGGTTTCTCAATTAGCCACTCCTCCACTTTCTTGGTGGCATTTCCTGGCCGCATTCTATCTGTATCTTGAATCCTTGCCAACTACTTGTCATTCGGTCTTTGCTGCTCCTGTTTGCTCACCAATGGTGAGTAGCCATGTTGATTGAGCGCAGAAAACTGCTCGCTGGAATGCTATGTTCGCTCTTGGATAGAAAGAACTAGCAAGCCTCACAATCTGCCACTCTTGAGTCCTGACTGGAGCGCTGCAGAACTAAGCGAAAGACGAGGAACTCCGCCCTGGGAGGTATAAATATGCCCCCATCCGTCTTTCTTGACGTTCCTCTTGCATCTCTCCTCGCACATCTCATTTGCGAAGATTGACTTTGATCATCTCCCTTTG